GGGAGCCAGGAGCTCGCTCGGGGTCTCCCACTTGGGCGGCAGCGACCTCACTGCTGCCCCCCACCCCAGACTGCACATGAAAAGCGAAGCTGGAGCCGGGATTCGAACCCAGGCCCTCCCATCAGTACTAGGCGGGTGATACTAACCTGAGAGTCATTAGAAAGGTGTGTTGTTGAGAAGGAAGACGGGAACGAATGAATGAATGAATGAATGAGACAGAAGCAGCACCCATGAGCCTCCATGAGCCAGAACTAGGGCTTGACCTTTGCCCCTTCTACCCCACCCCCACCCCTACCCGGGATTTCTGGCTCCTTATTTCTCGGCTCTTTTTTTTCTACTGAAGTTTGTGGCAGGAAGCTAATCTCCTGTCATGTTTTTGATCTGAGCTTTTCCTGTGACGTTGGGGACTCCACCCCCCCACCGGGGGTGGGGGCGGGCGCGGAGGAGGCTCAAGATTCGGCTGGGAAATGTGTTCTCGGAGTCCTTTTTCCCGGCTGTGTAATATTCCCAAGCAGGATGGCCTGGCCGTGTTGGGGTGATGCCTTGGAGAATCTCTGATGTGGCCTCCGAGTCTTCCCAATCCCTGGAGTGGGGAGTGAAGCTGGGGGTAGGGGGAGTTCCTTCTGGGGGGGTCCTTCCTCCCTGGGGGTGGTCACGCGTCCCTGTCTCACCACTCCGCCCCACGCCTGCCCACTCCTCCCGGGCTGGGTTATATAGGATCTATTTATATAGTGACAGCCCCGCCCCCGCTGGGGGCAGCCCGGTGAGCGGGGAAGGGGAAGCTGACGTTGCTAGGTGCTGAGGTTTGTTTGGGGCAGGGGTGGAGTCAGTGGCCTGCGGCTTCCTGGATGGTTTCATTTCCTAGAAGAAGCTGAGGACCCGGATCAACCCCCTTGGAGGGGCTCCGGGCAGAGGGGGACCCCGAAGCAGAAGCTGGGGCCCTGGTCCTCATCCCTGGGTCTGCCTGGGGCCCCCACCCCGAGCCTCCTGTTCCCTGGGCCCTGCTGCCTCGCTCTCTCTCCTCCTGAACCCCTACTCTGCCCTGGAGACCCCCACCGCAGTCCCAGCCCAGGAGGCTGTGGGACGCGGCCCCTACCCCCACCCTGCCAAGGCTCCAAATAGCCGTACTGCTATATTTAGCAGCTTGCGCAACCCCCTCGGAAAGCTCTAAATACAAGGACGCAGAGTGGCCCCAGGCTAGGTGGCCGCCTGGAGGAGCCCAGGTGTCCAGCCCGGAGGAGGAAACCCAGGGCTGGTGGTGGGGTGGGCAGGCGGGCGCGGTGGGTGTGGGGGCGGCCGGGACTGGCCGCGGCTTCCCGCCCTCTTCCCTCGCTCTCTCTGGGGCTTCCTGGCGTGGGGACAGCTGTCTGCGCTCACAATAGCTGCCTCGCCCTCCTGGAGCCAGAAGCTGGGCTCATCGGCGTGGGGGCTGGCCAGCCCCTTCCTCTGCCATTGTCTCCCAGCCGGGGGGCATCCTGTCAGCCCCCCCTCTGCCCGGGGACCCCATCTGACCCCCCAACCCCTGCCTCTGCCCCCCGGGTTTGTGCGGGCTGCTGGTGCCAGAATCCCATGGTAGGCAGGATACTGGGGGCCCCTGGTCTCTCCCCCAAGTCCCACAGAGAGGGAGCCCCCACCCCAGCTCTGAGCGATCATCTGACAGCAGCCAAAGCCCCTGCCGTGGGCCCACGCCTTCTCCTTGCTCTTGGGGCGTGCAGGAAAGTTCTGCCCATTTCACAGACGGACAGACTGAGACGCTGCCAGAGCCCACCTGGCCCAGCAAGGGGAGGATCTTCCCTGGGCCTCTGACAGAGAAGGGGGCCAGCGGGGAGGGCGGCTCTGTGGCCCCCGAGTCGGTCGTCTCGCCAGGCCGTGCCTCAGTGTACCCACCCATCACACAGAAGTCCCACAGCAGAGCCACTGATTGGTGGGGTAAGAGGAGGGTGCGGGCGCCGTGGTGCGGCAGGCGCAGCTGCCTATCGGAGCCCAGGTTCAAGTCCCTGGCTGCTCTCCCTCCTAAGGCATCCTGGGAAGGCAGCAGGTGCTCTCATTATTGTGGGTTTAGGATAAGCCTGGATCTCCGCCAGGGCCATGGCTCAACCCCCCACCCCCAACAGACACAGGGTTGGGGGACGTGGTCCAGATGGCGGCAGGGGTTACATTTTGGGGGTGAGGACACAGGTGCAGGGATGTCAGAGCCACAGCCTGCAGGGGAGGGAGGGGACCGGGAGGTTACCTGGGGATCTGAGTGTTTCAGGCAGAGGCAGCCTCCGTGCAAAGGCCCTGGGGTCTGTCTTGTGTCTGGTCACTTTGACAAGGAGACCTGGAGCTCTGAGCGGGGGTGGGGAGGGCTGTGGGGCGGACTCGGGGGATTTTGCTCTGAAGAGTGGGAGCCATGGAGGGTTCTTGAGCTGCGTGCACAGTGGCACAGGGAGTGGGGGAGTGGAAGTGGGGGCACCAGGGCAGGTTTGTGGTGATCGACAGGGCGGGAGTTAATGAGGTCTGGGTCTGGAGGGAGAGCTGGCCAGGAGATAGAGGGGAGGTGGGTGGGGGAGGAGAGGGGAGGAGGGGGGACGGCCTACCTCCTGCTCTCCCCAAGCCCACAGAAGTTTCTGGAAGCCTCCTACCCTACAGCACCCTGTTCCCTCCCCGCCTCTTTCCTCACTGAGCTCGGTACCCCAAGTGTTTCAGTCCCCACCCAACAGGAAGGCCCAGATGGCTGAGTCTGCTCCGAGGGCTGGGGACGGGGTCGGGGGAGGAGGCAGGAGAGCTAATGATGGCAGAACGCGCCTGCCTGGGGTCTGGGGTCCGCCCCCTGCGGGGTGGCCACAGAGCCCTGGGCTCTCTAGCTCCACTGTTGGCCTGGCCTGACTCCTTCTCCCCCCAGCCTCTCCCCTGCAGGCGCTGGGGGCTCCACAGTGGGGAGGGGGCTTCTCAGCCACCCCCCCTCACCCCCAGCCAATGCTCTGGGATTTCAGACACGGGTATCCTTTGCCCACCCTTGTCACCTTGAACTACATTTGCAAACTATTGCTTCTGCACCATGGATAAAGACTTAATATCCAATTCCTCCTTGCAAAACCCCAGGCTCCTGACCCCAGAGAGCAGGGAAACTGAAGACTAACTGTGGCCGGCGCCGCGGCTCCATAGGCTAATCCTCCACCTAGCGGTGCCGGCACACTGGGTTCTAGTCCCCGTCGGGGCGCTGGATTCTGTCCCGGTTGCCCCTCTTCCAGGCCAGCGCTCTGCTGTGGCCCGGGAGTGCAGTGGAGGATGGCCCAAGTGCTTGGGCCCTGCACCCCATGGGAGGCCAGGAGAAGCACCTGGCTCCTGCCTTCGGATCCGCGCGGTGCACCGGCCGCAGTGTGCCGGCCGCAGAGGCCATTGGAGGGTGAACCAATGGCAACGGAAGACCTTTCTCTCTGTCTCTCTCTCTCTCACTATCCGCTCTGCCTGTCAAAAAAAAAAAAAAAAAAAAAAAAGACTGTGCATAGAGGGAGCACAGAGACAGGTCTGAGGGGTGGGGTGGGGGGCGCAGGGCGTGGAGCCTGCGTCCCACCTCTCAAATATACACGCTGAAAAGCAAGCTGTTGAATGCAGCTGGCTAAAGTCACCCACTCTGCCTCCATAGATACCAGCAGGGGCCGGTGCTGTGGCGCAGTGGGTAAAGCCACCACCTGCAGTGCCAGCACCCCATATGGGGCGCTGGTTTGAGTCCAGGCTGCTCCACTTCTGATCCAGCTCTCTGCTATGGCCTGGGATAGCAGTAGAAGATGGCCCATATCGTTGGGAGACTTGGAGGAAGCTCCTGGCTCCGGATCAGGGCAGCTCAAGCTGTTGCAGCCGTATGGGGAGTGAACCAGCGAATAGATCTCTCTTTGTCTCTCCCCTCTCTAAGGAACTCTGCAATAAATAAATGCTAAAAAGATACAATAGTATCCAAGAGAGACTTTGGGACTTCAGGCCCCTGGTGGCTTCAGTTTTCTGCATCGGAAAGCCTAGAGGGCGGGCACTGGCTGGGAACCCACCGAGTTTTATTTCTCCTGGGGTCACCACCATTCCCTACCATCTATGGGCCAGCAGTTACATTGTAGCAACTACTCCAGGGCCGACTCCAAAGGATCAGGCAAGCACTGTGCCTGTTCCTAGAAGGGACTTGAGGCCTTGTGGGTTTCTGGTGCCCTTGGCAGGGAAGGAGAGGGTCCTGGAACCTTAGAGGATGGGGAGTCGGGGCGGGAGGGCCAGTGCACTGCCTTACAAAAAAGAAAAAAGCCCAGAGCTTTGAAAACCTGATTAGATGGCTGGAGAGACAAGGCAGTCACAGGACCGCTCTGAGAAAACACTGCTCCCTCGTGATCTGATTCTCCCCTGGGTGACACAGTGCTCAGGAGCCCCTTAAAAAAAAAAAAAAACAAAAACAAAAAAAAAAAACAAAAAACACTGGTCCCAGCACGAGGGGGTGGGGGTAGGGGTGGGGTGTAGGAGCATGGTCTCCGGCCCAAAGAAGCCAGGACTGTGGCTGCCCCAGGTCTGGGCTCCTTCGTTGCCCCCCCCGCCCCGGCTCCCTGTTTCCACGTTGCTACTCTGGGCCTCAGTGGTTGCATCCGGCCAATGGGTGTGTGCAAGGTCACCCAGTGCTCTCAGGTGTCCTGGCTCGGGGGCCAGAGCTCTGAGCCCTGTTCAGCCTCAGGCCCAACCCCTGCCCCTCGTCTCAGAGGATGAGAACCCAGCAAACCGTGGCCCGCCCTCTTCCACTGCCCCACACTGCTGACTTCCCCGCCCCCGCCCCCTCTGCCCCCGTGGTGTGTGCGGGAGCCAGAGAAGGCACCAGAGGCTCCCATGGTGGCCCAGCTGGAAGAAGCCTGGGAGGCAGGTGGCGGGGGGAGGGGTGCGGGGGGGAGCTATGGGCACGCGCATGTGTGTGTGTGTGTGTGTAGCACTCCTGGTCTGTTTTTATTGCATTTTCCTGTTGCCTCTTCCAGCTGCTCAGCCAGTTCCGGGGAGGGCCCTGGGCCAGCGGCTGTCCCATCCCCGCCCCTCTCATAAAAGCCAAGCCAGGCCTCGGGACACCCAGTACTGCTGCCCAGCCCCGGGGCAGACACAGGGACCAGCCAGCCCTGTGCCACCTCCAGCCTCTCCCCCATCCTGCCTGGGACCATGGGCGTCCCCTGCCGCGGCGCCTTCCTCGGTGAGTTCTGTGGGCTCCCACCCACTGCAGCCCAGCCCAGCCCGCAGGGAAGGGTGAGGGAGCCCCGGCGCCCTCTCTGGTGGCCGCGGACGGCTGGGAGGTGCCACTGGGGCCCGGCTGAGGAAGCCACATGGCCGACAGAGGCTGGCGCCTGGAGACACAGGGGACCCGTGTCCGGCACCCCCGCCACAGCCAGGCAGTGAAATTGGGGGTCCTCTAGGAACCTGCCTCCTGCCCAGAGCTGGACGGGAGCAGGTGGCTTTAGATTCTCTAGAGCAGCCAATTTGGGCAAACTGAGGCAATGGGGGAGCAGAGACCCCCCAGAGCCGGGGCGGGTGCAGGCAGCTGTGGGGTGGGGGAGGGGGAGGGGCCCCAGGCGGGACGGTGCTGGGCAGCCAGGGCCCTTCCACTGTGGGGTACCCCAGATTTGTCCCCCTCCGGAGCTGTCTCAGGGCCAGGGGCAGCCCCAGAATTCCCCTCGAAGACCTGAGCGGGAGTGTGTGTGTTTGAACTTGACTTTGGTTGTGATTTTCCCCACCCCCGCCCTCCCACGGTTGGGGGGGGCCTCCCTTCCCGCCGCACCCAGGGTGCTCTAACGGTTATCTACCAGGGCGGGCAGTTTGTGGCCTGAGCAACCGGGGCAAGGGGTAACAAAGAGAGGGCAGGAATGAGACATTTAGGGTGAAAACAGGAGATCACAGGGTGTCCCCAGGGCGGCAGGTGGCAGCAGCCCCTGTGTGTGTGTGGGGGGGATAGGCGGGGGTCCGAGGCCTCCTTGGCTGCCACCCGAACCCCTTCAGCCTCACTTTTTCCCCATCCACGAAGGATCAGGAGGATCCTCCCCTTCCAAGTGGATCAACAGGTCCGTGGAAAACGCCTGTTAGATTTAAAAAAAATCATCGATATATTGCAAGGCTTTAAGCCGATTTTTTTGGCACACAAATAACCCCACGCCCCCCCCCCCCCCAGGGTGGCCGTGTGAATGAGCCCAGAGCAAGCCCTGATTGGCAGGAAATTGTCTTTATTGTTTTCATTTCTTTCTGGGGAGGGAGGGGAACGCTGGGGGGGGGTCCTCAGCTGGAGACACAAGGCTGGGGGGGGAGGGCGGCCTCACCCCCGCCCCAGGGGCTGCTAGGGGGAGAGGGGTGTGTGTGGGGGGAGGGGATGCATGAGCACCAGATGGGCCTGGCGCTGACGAACAGCGGCGGCTTCTCTCCGGCTGCCGTTTGGTCCACGTCCAAGGCTCCAGACGGAGGCCAGGTCCATGTCCAAGGCTCCAGACGGAGGCCAGGCAGCCAGGGGGGACTTCTTGGCCCCTCGCCGTCCCAAGTTGGCGGTGGCTGAGGCCAAAGGACCTCAGAAGCCTCCACCCCACCTTCCCCCACTGGCACCCCCACCCCGGCCCCTTCTTGCCCTGGGTTCCAAGTCTCAGCTCGTCCATCCGCAGCCCCTGGCTCCTCCTGGGGCCATCTTGTTTGGGTTTTGCTTTTTTTTTTTTTTAACTTGAAAGGGGGGCGTGGTTGTTCGGGGGCGGGGAGGGCGTCTGGGAGCTGGGACTGAGCCAGCTTGGCCCCCAGGAGAGGGTCCTTGTGTGATTCTGTCTTCTGCCCCACCCCGGGGCAAGAGGAACTGGGTCCCGGCTCCCGGGGTGTGGGGGGAGGCAGGGAAGTAGCTGAGAGAGAGGAGGAAGAGCCAAACTGGGGTCCCCCCACCCCGAGGGGCAGCGGGCTGGGGAAGCTGGGCTGGGGACAGTGGTGGGGGAGTCAGGGGGTCCAGGACCTCTCCCCACAGGCTGGCGCATGACTGGCCTGGTTAGGGAACCCTAGTCCACTCCCCACCCCCACCCACTCTCGGGGGACCCCTCCCAGCCACAAGCTGGGAACCCCAGTATTTCGCTGGGAGCCCCCTCCGGAGTAGACGACGCAGTGGTGGTGCGTCACTGCTTCCTCAGGGCCCAGGAAGTGAGTGACTCACGCCCGCCCTCCCTGTGCCCACTGGATCTCGCTAGATTTGGGGGGGTCCCCCCTGGAAACTCCCAAATGGGCAGGGTCGCAGGAGGAGGAGGCCACCCAGCTGGAGGCCACGGCGTCTTCCAGTGCCTGGGTGGGGAGTCCTGGGGCCCCGGGGCCCAAGGCGCTGGTGCTGGGGTAGGCGTGGAGGCTGTGCACCTGCGTCCCTGGGTGAGGGGGGGAGCGTGGACCTGAGGGCATGCGTGCCCAAGCCCTTGGGTTTGCACTCAAATGACAGTGGCAGTGACGTCGGGTGGCGTTGTCGAGGCTGAGTTTCCACCGCACAGCAGGGAAGCTGAGGCTGAGTGGTCCAGGGCCCCGCCTACACGGCGGTCTGAGCTCCTGGGGGGCGGATCTGTGTTCTGAGCAGCTGTCCCACCCGCACCCCCAAGTCTCCGAAACATGAGGTGCCCCCCCCCCCGCCGCTAGCTTCCTGCTTGTTCTCTGGGCCACACAAGGGGTCCGGCCCCCTGCTGAAGATCCCCTCCCCCTGTCTCCCTGCAGCGCTGGGGGTCCTGCTGACTCTGTCGGGAGCTGCAGCCCAGAAATCCAAGCGTGAGTGCGTTGGGAGCGGCCAGAGGCTGGGGCAGGGGCTCGGGAACCACCCCCCCCCCCGCCCTGCGCGCGCCCCTCTCAGCCCTCCCCCCCCATCCCGGGCGGGCCGGGGGCGGGGCGCGGAGGAAGCCCCTTCCCCAGGCTCAGCCCTGAGTGTCCGCCCCGCAGCCTGCGCCCCGTGGTGCCCTGCGAGGTCTACGTGCGTCAACGGCACGGCTTGTCGCTGCGAAGCGGGGTTCACGTCCACGTCAGGGGAGATCTTCACGGAGCGCACGGACATGTGCGAGGGTACGTGGGGTCACACACAGCTGGAGGCCTTGCCCTGGGGCCCCAGAGACCTGGCTCAGTGTGTGTGTGTGTGTGTGTGTGTGTGCGTGTGTGTGCAGAGGCTCTTTCCAGAAGGAACCTAATTACACTCGGGGTGTGTGTGGGGGGGGCACTGACACCGCTGGGAGGTGACCTCGGCACTGTCACCGTCGCAGACATCAACGAGTGTGCCCCGCCCCGGTCCCTGTCCTGCGGGAAATTCGCCGATTGTCAGAACGTGGACGGCAGCTACTACTGCACCTGCAGCCCGGGATACGGGCTCCTCTCTGGGGAGAAGGTGTTCAAGGATGAGAGCCAGAACACGTGTCAAGGTAAGCCCCCATCTCCATGCCCGTGAGGTTTGGGGGGTAGAGAGGTGGGGGGGGTCCCTGAGCCCTTCCTGATGTACCCAAGGGCGCAGGGCCATGGCCGCCTGGAGCCTCCTAGCCGAGGCTCAGCCGTGAGGCAGTAGTCAGCACTGCCTGGCAGCTGCGGCGGGGTTAAGATAGGATCAGAAATGTGGATTTGCGTAAAGAAGACAGCGAGGGAGAGGAGAGGAAGGGAAGAAGAAGAAGAAGAAAGAGTCTCTGTTTGAAAGAATAATCGTGGAAGTGGCTCTGTCTCTCGTTCCCGGCCAGCCTGCGTCTCTCTGTGCCTCAGTTTACTGATATGCAAAATGGAGGCGCGACAGCATTACTGACTTTATAGAACCTTGGAGAGGCAAATGAGCTCAGTAGAGGCATTCCCCGGGGGTCAGAGGTCAGCTGGGAGTGGGCAGGCGGGAGCCGTGACTCACCCAGGGGGAGGGCAGGGGACTGGGATCCAAGGCTCCAGGCCCAGCCCTGCCTGCAGGACAGGAAGGAACAGAGCAGACACGCGTGTACTGGGACCACGCGCCTGTGCACCGCCCTGATGGTGCCGGCCGCCCGCGGCTTGGCCAGAGGGCGCTCTTCGTGGGCGCTGGAACAAGGGCCCCGCCTTCTCCAGGAAGACACAGCCGCCTTTGGAGAACCCAGAGTGGACCCTCAACCTGGTGCAGTGAGCAACCTGCTCAGCTGTCCACGGTGAGCCTGGATCCTTCTCGGAGTGCCTCAGCTGGAGGACGCCCCCTGGGGCGGTGACTGTTGACTACAGAAGAGCTATGTCAGAAGCAGGCCTGGAGCCGAGAGGGGAGAGGGGGTAACCCAGTGGGGTTCCCCCACAGACCTCAAGGAGACAGGGCTCTCAGCCTGCTGATCTGCTGCCCCCCGGGCACCGCTCCCCTCCCCTCTCACAAGAGAAAATTCCAGAAGCCCTGAAGATCGCCGGCCTGTGGGCATCTTTATTTGTCGGAAGGAGAGGGGGTATTCAGACATCTCACAATCTCTTGTCCTCCTGGGAGCCCGAGCTGCCCGCACACACGCCTGCCCCACACCGGAGAGCCACACCTGGGAGCCATCTCCCACCTCCTCCTCCTCCTTGGCCAAGAAGGACCTGGAGACCCCCACCTGTGACCCCAGAGGATCCAAAGGAAGACTCGCGCAGAGTTTCTGCCTGAACAGGACAGAAGCTGGAAGCTTTGCTTCCAGAGGCTGGGGTGACAGAGACACCTCTGGCCACGGAGCCCTCGCCCATGGCTGGATTCCTGCTGCTGCTGCCCCATCCACAGGGGATGCCTCTGTGGCAATCAGAGAGACACCTGTGCAGGCCCGGGACTGCCTGGCACCCACTGTCCAGGGACTGTGAACCTGCTGCCCGGGGTGGGAAGGAGGGAGGAACTGGCCCAGGGCCAGGTCCTGGGCCACCGCCGTGGAGCTGAGCTCTCAGCCTGGACAGGAGGGGCTGTCCCACCTGCTAGGGTCACCAGGAGTGTGAAAACCTGGCCGCCGGGGTGGGGATCTGGCCACAGGCCTCGCCCTGCTGGTCCCTGCCCTGGCTGGGAGCCCAAGGGCAAGACCTGGCATCGCTTCCTCCAGGCAGGAGCCTGGATTCTACCCAGGGCTTCCATGCCGGGAATCCAGGCCAGCCCCAGCCCTGGAGGAGGGCAAGATGGGAGGGGGACTCCAAGACCAGGGTGTGGGGGGGTAGGCGGGCATCGTGGGTCACGTGCGTACGATGCCCACCACACAGACCACGCCCACCTCTGCCTGGGACGTCACTTCCCAGGGTGGCCCGACCACAGGACAGCACAGCCACGGGGACCCTCCAGGCCTGGAGTGCCCCCGACCTTGCCCCTTCCCCCTCTGTGGCCTGCAGGTGGGAGGCAGTACTTCCGGGTCTGAGAAGGGGACCTCGTAACTTAGTTTCCCTCCCATACACTGGGCCCATGATCCCTGCTGTGCCCATCTTTTTCAAAAAAAGATTTTTTTTTTTTTGGACAGGCAGAGTGGACAGTGAGAGAGAGAGACAGAGAGAAAGGGCTTCCTTTGCCGTTGGTTCACCCTCCAATGGCCGCCATGGCCGGCGCGCTCGGCCAGCGCACCGCGCTGATCCAATGGCAGGAGCCAGGTACTTATCCTGGTCTCCCATGGGGTGCAGGGCCCAAGCACTTGGGCCATCCTCCACTGCACTCCCGGGCCACAGCAGAGAGCTGGCCTGGAAGAGGGGCAACCAGGACAGAATCTGGCACCTGGACCGGGACTAGAACCTGGTGTGCCGGCGCTGCTAGGTGGAGGATTAGCCTAGTGAGCCGTGGCGCCGGCCAAAAACAGATTTTTTTAAAAGATTTATGTATTTGTCTAAAAGGCAGAGTGATGGAGCCAGGGGAGAGAGAGAGAGAGGTTTTCCACCTGCTGGTTCACTCTGCAGATGGCCACGACACCCAGGGCTGGGCCAGGCAGGAGCCAGGAGCTCCATCCGGGTCTCCCACGCGGGTGCAGGGGCCCAAGCACTTGGGCCATCTTCTGCTGCTTTCCCAGGCCACAGCAGAGAGCTGGATGGGAAGTGGAGCAGCTGGAACTCTAACTGGCGCCCATACGGGATGCCAGCGATGCAGAAGAGGGCGGAGCCTGACCCTTTGGCTTTGTCCTCAGACGTGAACGAATGCACCTCGGGACAAAATCCCTGCCACAGCTCCACCCACTGCATGAACAAAGCCGGCGGCTACCAGTGCCTCTGCCGCCCCGGCTGGAGGCCGATTCCCGGAGCCCCCAATGGCCCAAACAGCACCGTCTGCGAAGGTTTCGCCTCAGGCGCGGGCAGGACTCGGGGTCCCTGAGTGCAGGGGGCGCCCTGCCGGGCCGGGCACCAAGGCCACTGAGTCTGGACGTGAAAAGACCTGGGTGGGGGTGGGGTGACAGGGTCGGAGCCGGGGGAACCAGCGGAGGCTGCCCTGTAACTCATCGCCCACCCAGGCCACAGCCACGGGCACTGCACGCCGCCACTAGGTGGCAGCACCTGCAGCCACAGGGGTTCTGATGAAGCAGGGCGGGGGCGCTGGGCAGGCGGCGGGGGCTGGGGCCCGGCCTGAGCCCTCCTTTCTGTCCCCAGACGTGGACGAGTGCAGCTCCGGGCAGCATCAGTGTCACAACTCCACCGTGTGCGTCAACACCCAGGGGTCATATAAGTGCCGCTGCCGCCAAGGCTGGAAACCGATTGCCGGATCCCTCAACGGCCCCATCAACACCACCTGCGAAGGTACCTGAGCCTAGAACCCCACCCGCGCCCCAAACACGCACACACACACACACAGATGCACACACACACACAGCCGGACGCATGCCTGATGCCCCCTGTCCTGCCCCCTGCAGAGATTCACCTGCCCACCTGGACTCCACCCCACGGCGTCCACAGTCAGGTGAGTGTCCCCAGCCGGCACCACCAAGCAGGAAGTCCCCTGGCACTGGGGTCCCCACCCCCCACCATGGCGCAGGCTGACCCCTGCTCTCTCTGCCTCCAGAGTCTCTCCGGATTCCTTGACAAAGTCCAGGCTCTGAGCAGAGACTTCAAGCCAGCCTTGGCCAATGTCACCATCCAGGTAAGGGCCAGAGCTGGGGGAGCCAGGGCATGGCTCCGAGACGCAAGCACGTTCCCCTGCGGACTGGGTGGGTGCTGGGGGCCGTGGGGAAGGTGCCTCTTGGGACGCCTGCAGCCCACGTCGTATGCTTGGGTTCGGAACCAGCTGCACAGTCTCTGACAGCTTCCTGCTGATGGGGACCTGGGAGGCAGCAGGTGATGGCCCAAGTCCTTGGGGGATGGGGGTCCTTGCCACCCCAAGGGAGACCCAGATGGAGTTTCTCAGTTGGCTCCTGGCTTCAGCCTGGCTGAATGGGGGAATCTCTCTCTGTCTCTCTCTGTAGCACAATGTCAGCCCTTGGATTTCTCTCCTAATTCCATTTTCCATGCATTTTTTGGGGGGAAAGGGGCAGGGAGGTGCCCTTGCACGTATGCACACACACACAGGACTTCCTGGCGACTTTATGGCCGTCATGAGCCCCTGGCGCCCCCTGCTGCCTCCAAGGGTGGAGCAACCCCTGTGGGTCCAAGAAGCCCACAGCTGATCCGTCTCCCCGCCCCCACCCCCAGCGCCTCATCCAGTCCGTGGATGACCTGCTCAAGGCGCCAGGGGACTTGGAGAGACTGGCTCTGAGTGACCAGCACCTCGTGGCCACCCAGCTGCTCTCTGACCTGGAACAGTCCATGAGGACCCTGGCCCGGACCTTACCCACAGGTCCCTTCACCTACCGCTCTCCTTCGGGCACAGGTGAGGTGCCCCCCACCCTGCACCTGCCCGCGCCCCGCCTTCTCCCTCCCCACTCACTCCTTGCCTTTGCCCTCAGAACTGAGCTTGATGGTGCAGGAGAAGGGGACGGGCAACGTCACCATGGGCCAGAGCCACGCACGGATGCTTCTGGACTGGGCGGTGGCGAGTGAAGACGGGGACTTGGGTAATGCTCGGCCCGGGCAGCGGGGGCAGGAGGAGCTGGGGCAGGGAACGGGACGGGGGTGCGTGCTGTGGTGCAGCGGCTAAGGCGCGCCCTTGGGGAGTGAGTGAGGACGCAGTGTGTCCACCCCGCAGGCCACCCCGTGGCGGGCATTCTGTCCAGTCCCAACATGCAGCAGCTGCTGGCCAACGCCTCCCTGGAGCTGACGCCCGAGAAGCAAGCCGACCTGGAAGACACGTACGAGGGCCCCGTGCGTGGCGCCCGGCTCAGGCTCCTTTCTGCCGTCAGCTCCGTCTTCCTGAGCAACACGAGAACGCACGAGCTCGGCTCGCCTGTCACGTTTGCCTTCTCCCACCCGGTGAGTCCTCGCGCCGGGTGGGGCTGGGCCCTACTGGCCGCCACCCATTCACTCACTCCAAACGCTCCCGGGGGGTGGGGGAGCATGCCATGGAGCATCTATTGTAGGTTTCAGATTTTTAGCTTATTTTTTTTTTTTTTGCACCAAAATAAGCTTTGGCCCATCACCTTTCCCAAGTCCTGACTTAACCTGTCCTGCTGTCACTCCTGGCGCCCCATAAATGCGGCAGCCCCGCTGACCACCCGCATCTGCCCACAGTCGGAGACGCCCCGCGGGCCCCGGCAGGAGGTGGTCTGCGCCTTTTGGAAGAGCGACAACAGGGGGACCGGGCGGTGGGCCACTGAGGGCTGCCGGAAGCTGGGCAGCCAGAACGGCAGCACCACCTGCCAGTGCACCCACCTGAGCAGCTTCGCCGTGCTCATGGCGCACTACGACGTGCAGGTGAGCGTCGCCGGGGGCGGGGCCGTATGATGGACAGCCCCCTCCCCCCCCCCCCCGCAGCGGCACCGGGGGCGTAGCCTGTGATGGACACCGCTCCGTGCTCCCACTCCTAGGACCCGCAGCTGACCTTCATCACCAAGGTGGGGCTGGCGCTGTCGCTGGTCTGCCTGCTGCTTTGCATCCTCACCTTCCTGCTGGTGCGGCCCATCCAGGGCTCGCGCACCACCGTGCACCTGCACCTCTGCGTCTGCCTCTTCGTGGGCTCCGCCGTCTTCCTGGCCGGCATCGAGAACGAAGGCGGCCAGGTGAGGCCCCGCCCCCGGCCTCGTGAGCTCCGGGACTGTCCGCTGCGCGGCTGGGTGGAAGCCCCGCCCCCCAGGCCGTGCAGCATGAGGGTAGGTGGAAGCCCCGCCCCGTCCCCACTCACCGCCCAGCGAGCGCCGGGGCTGTATAGTGTGAAGGTGTGTGGAAGCCCCGCCCCGTCTCCGCAGCCCGTGAGCGCCCGGACTGTGCAGTGTGAGGGTGGGTGGAAGCCCCGCCTCGGCCCCGCTCACAGCCTATCAGTGCCAGTAGGAGGTTGGTTGGAAGCCCCGCCCCGTCCCCACCCACCGCCCGGCGAGGGCCGGGACTGTGCAGTGTGAGGGTGTGTGGAAGCCCCGCCTCGGCCCCGCCCCGCAGCCCGTCAGTGCCGGGACTGTGCTGTATGAGGTGGGTGAAGCCCCGCCCCGCGCTGACACCGCCCCGCCCCACCCCGCAGGTGGGCCTGCGCTGCCGCCTGGTGGCCGCGCTGCTGCACTACTGCTTCCTGGCCGCCTTCTGCTGGATGAGCCTGGAGGGCCTGGAGCTCTACTTTCTGGTGGTGCGCGTGTTCCAGGGCCAGGGCCTGCGCGCGCGCTGGCTCTGCCTGCTGGGCTACGGCGTGCCCCTGGCCATCGTGGGCATCTCGGCGGCCGTGCGCAGCCAGGGCTACGGCCGCGCCGCCTAGTGAGTGCGCGCCGCGGGGCGGGGCGGGGGTGCCCACCCTGGGTCCCCTATGGCCCGCGCCTGCGTCACGGATTCCCCTCCCCTGCCCGCAGCTGCTGGCTGGACCCGGCGGGCGGATTCCTCTGGAGCTTCCTGGGTCCCGTGACCGTCATCGTCCTGGTGAGTGCGCAGGTGCAGACCCAGGCCCGCGGCGCGAGCCCCCAGCCCTCACCCAGCCCTGACCCGGCTCTGCACGCCCCACACAGTGCAACGCCATCATCTTCGTGACCACCGTGTGGAGGCTCGCGCAGAAGTTCTCGGACATCAACCCCGACATGAAGAAGCTGCGGAAGGCCAGGTGCGGGGCGGTGCAGGGGCGGACAAGTGCACGTGCGGAGCAGGGGCGGGGGCAGGGCCGGCGCGGGAGCAGGGAGCAGGTGCGGGCGCATGTACGGGAGTGGGTGCGGAGGCAGGGTCAGTGGTGGGTGCAGGGGCAGGGCCGGTGTTGACGCTGGCACAACTGACGCTGGGACACGTGCACGTGTGGGAGTAGTTGCGGGAGAGAGTGTGGGAGCAGGTGCACGTACACGCACGGGTGCAGGTGTGGGGCACTGGTGTGGATGCAGGTGCACGTGTGGGGGCGGGAGCAGGGGCGGGAGCGGGTGCACATGTGGGGGCGGGGGCAGGGGTGCACGTACACGCACGGGTACAGGTGTGGGGAGCTGGTGCGGATGCAGGTGCACATGTGGGGGCGGGGGCAGGGGCGGGAGCGGGTGCACGCACAGGCGCAGGTGTGCGCGCGGGCTAGGTGCTCTCAGCAGGGAGCGCTCTCAGCAGCCGGCCCATCGGGCCTGCCCGCAGGGTGCTGACCGTCACGGCCGTGGCGCAGCTCGTCGTGCTGGGCTGCACCTGGGTCTTCGGCCTCTTCCTCTTCGACCCGCGGAGCTGGCTGCTGTCCTACGTCTTCACGGTGCTCAACTGCCTGCAGGGCGCCTTCCTCTACGTGCTGCACTGCCTGCTCAACAAGAAGGTGGGTGGGGCCGGGCCAGGGGCGGGGCCGCCAGAATCCCGCCCCACTGACGCCCCGCCCCCCGCAGGTGCGTGAGGAGTACCGGAAGTGGGCTTGCCTGGTGGCAGGGAACCGGTACTCGGAGTTCGTGTCGTCCAGCACAGGCTCCAGCCACCAGCCGAGCACGCGGGTAAGGCGCGTGCCTGGGGTGGGGTGTGGCCTCAGGAGTGGGGTGGGCCCTCACGGGGTGTGGCATGTCTGGGGCAGGGGCGAGGCCTCACGAGCTCCTCCTGCGCAGGTGCTCAGGCCCTCGGAGTCTGGCATGTGAAGAAGTGGACAAGGCGCCGGCGCCAGCGCCTGCCCTCCCGGGCCCCAGAGCCCCCGCAGGGTGAGGACGGGACCGCCGTCCCGCCCACTCTCTCGATACGGTACAGAGGCCCGGCCGCCTACCTACCCGCCCTCGGCGCACACGGGAAGGGAGCTGGCATCCAGAGGAATAAACGTTTATTCTCGCCAGAGTGTCCGGCGGTGGAGGCCGCCCATCCGGCGTCCATAAGGGACCAGGCCGTGCGCGGCAGCGCCGCCCAGGCGCCAGGCTACCGGCTCTGCTTGACTGTGGGCAGGGGGCGGGGAGAGGGGGAGGCTGCAGGTGCGGCTGCGGGGCGGCCCCACGGCCCCGCCCTGCCCATGGCCCTCCGGAGCTCCGCCCCCGCCCCGCCCCCGCCCCGCACGCACTTTACATGGAGATGGCCACGTTCACTTCGAAGCGGTCTTGGACATCTTTCAGGATCCGGGCGTCGTCCTCCTCAGACACGAAAGTAATGGCCAGGCCCTTGGTGCCGAAGCGGCGGGGCGGGCCACCTGCAGGAGAGGCGGGCGGAGCCAGAGCGTCGGGGGCGGGGCCGGGCTGGACGGCAGAGGCCGGGTCGCTCACGTGTCGGAGTCCTCGGGCATGTCGTAGTTGAAGACGATGTTGACGCGCTCGATGTCCATGCCGCGCCCGAACAGACTGGTGGCCACCAGGACCCGCCGCTGGAAGTCCTTGAACTGCTGGTAGCGGGAGAGGCTGCAAGGGGGGCCGGGGCGGGGCCGTGAGGGGCGGGACTCGGGCGCTCTGGGAGCCCGGCGGGGTGGGAGGTGTGGGCGGGGCTCCGGGGGGCGGGGCGGGAGGTGTGCGCCGGGCGTGGCTGTGATAGGCGGGCGGGGCGGCGGCCCTCCGCACTCACCTCCTGGGCCATGCCGCGGTGGGCCATGGCGATGGCTGGGAAGTTCTGCTCCTGCAGGAGCTGGGCCAGGGTCATGCCGCGCTGCACTGACTTGACGCAGATCTCCACCTGTGCGGGTGGGGCCCAGGGCGCGGTGGGGGCGGTCAGAGGGTCAGACCCGGGGCCGCAGCTCCCCGCAGTCCCTGCGGCCGCACCTGGTTGAACTTCCTGCACACGGGCCACACGCCCTGGCCCAGCGTGGCCCTCAACATTATGCACTGCTTCTCGTGTGGCTCGAGGGCCAGGGGCTGGGGGCCAGGGGGCTGAGGGCGGAGCTGCAGGCCAGGCGGCAGCCTAGGGCAGGGAGGCCGCTGGGGTGAACGCTGCTGGCGGCCGCCGGGGAGCGCCCCCCGCCCCCAGTCCCCGCCACTGCGCACCCAGCTGCTCCAGCATCTTGTCGCACAAAGTGCCTCACGCCGCGCAGGCTCAGGCTGCGGCCTGGCGTGCCCACCAGCACGTGCGGACGCTTCTTCTTCAGCACCTCCTCGTCCTTCTTGATGGACAGGCCCCCAAAAAACACGGACACCTTCGGGCACAGAATGGCGCTGGCCTCCCCCGCCCGCCGCGGTCCGGGAGCCAACCTTGACGCCGGGCATGTACTTGGAGAAGTGCTCGTACTCCTTGCTGATGTGGAAGGCCAGCTCCCGCGTGTGGCACATGACCAAGACGGTCACCTGGGAGCAGGACGGCGCAGCTCAAGGCCCCGCCCCCGGCCCCAATTCCCGGGACCAGCGCAGTCGCCCGCGGCCAGCGCCCACCTGTCCGTTGACCAGCGCAATCTGCTGCAGCGTGGCCAGCACGAACACTGCCCTCTTGACCATGCTGGACTTGGCCTGGCACAGGACGTCCACACCCAGGATGCCCTGGGGGATGCGCTCGGGCTGGACTGCGGGTGGGAGGGCGGGCCAGCGCGCGGCGCCTGGCGGCCCTGCAGGCAGCGAGCTTGGGTGGGTGCGGGCGCGGCACGGGCATCCTTCCCTCGGACGGGTGCTCGAAGCCACAGTCCACGAGGGTGTGCAGGAGCCCACGCCTGCCCCCCAGGATTCCCCAGGGCTCGTCCGGTGGGTGTGGGCACGCCCTCCTCCAGCCACTGAGGGCTGAGGCGGGGCCTCTTTCATCGGGCAGCACCACCCCGCCCAAACTGGTGCCCGTCTTGGCGACCACCCCCCAGCTCCAGACCCCGATAGCTGCCTGCCCACAAATCCCAGCGCAAAAGTATCTTCTCCCCGTCAGCTCCTATGCGGCCCCCACCGCCCAGTCTTTAAACAAGACTTTGAGAAGCCACAGGCTCAGAGCGCTGCCCCCCCCATGCCTGCAATGGCTGAGCTGAACCCGGGAGCTGCGGCCTCCATTGTCTCCCCCACGGGCAGCAGAGACCCGAGGACTGGAGCCATCGCACGATCTGAACACCAAGCCTTCCTTCGCGGAAATTTAACAAAAAACACGGGGCCTCCGATGGGGCGCAGTGGATCCCCCCCCCCCCCCGCCTGGAACGCCAGTATCCCACGGGGGCGCGGGTTCGAGTCCCGGCTGCTCCACGTCCGATCCAGCTCCTTGCTAACCCACCTGGGAAAGCAATGGAGGATGACCCGAGTCCCTGGGCCCCTGCACCCGCGTGGAAGACCCGGAGGGAGCTCCTGGCTTCAGCCTGGCCCAGCGTTGGCTGCTGGGGCCCTCTGAAGAGTGAACCAGCAGACGGGAGCACTCAGATTTTCAAAATAAATCTTTTTATTAGAAAAAGAACGTGACTTCCGCGGTGTCCCTCCACGCCGTGGCTTCCAGTGTGCGGCGTCCGCCCTGCAGCACGGCCCACCTGGCGGCAGCTGGTGGTCCCACGGTGGGTCTCGCCGTCCCCCCACCGCCACTCCTCACGCAGCCAGCGGGAGCCCTAGCCACAGCTGGACGCGGCCGGCAGGCGCGCGGCACGGCGGCCCCCACCGCATCCCATGGATCCCCGTCTCCTCCGGGCTTTGGCCCTTGGCAGCAGCATCCAGGAGGGTCGGCAGGCTGAGAAGACCCTCCGCAGCTCCCACGGCGCTCAGAAGTCCCCAGCAACCCCCGCAACTCCCGCCCGGCCCGCCTGCAGCCGTGACACCCCAGCTCCCGGAAGCGGCCGTGCGCGCTAACTACCGGCCCGCCCCCCGGCGCATGCGCCCCAGCGCGCAACGGCCACCTGCCCCGCCCCGCGAGTGCGGCGCCGCGACCCGCGCTCTCTCCTCGTGTTCGCCGTCACCACTCCCCTAAGCGTCTCCCCTCGCCCGTTTGCCCGACGTTCCTGCACAGGGGCCCCACGCCCAGGAAGCGCCACTCACCTGGTTCCTCGTTCGTCTCCGCGCGCTCTGAAGAAAGACGCCCGACTCCGATTACCCGCCGCGCGCCGGCTCACGAGCGGCCGCACTTCCGGCCGACCGCGGCCCTCCGCTCACTGGACAGTCAGCACGTCACTCAAAAGGATGGGAAGCGGTGATTGGGTCGTGCGGGAGGAGTCTGGAAGCTATTGGTAGAGCAAAGAACAGGGCGTGCCTTACGGCTCGCTTTCATTGGTCAATGTAAAAGGCGCGCCCTAGGGAGCATAGTGAGCCGGGCCCCGGCGCGTGCGCTGTCACTTGACCTGGGTTTGGGCCAAGTTGGGAGCCGCCATTTTTGGTACTGGCAATCGAAGACTTGCCGCACCCTCTCTGAGTGTGGCTTCTTATTGAACCCGGGGCTGCGAAGTTGGCACCAGCCTGCGGCCTCGGCGTCTTCCGTGGCGGGGGATTGGGGGCCGGGAGTGACTACTGTAGAGGAATTTAGCCTGTTCTCTGGATTTCGCGTGAATGGCATCCAGTTACTACCTGAGCTTTTGTCTCCCGACACCTTTGCTCAACAAAATGTTTTTGGGTGTTGCACCATTGGAGCTCAGTCCATCGGGGGGTTTGGGCTGTGAGCTGGGGGGCGGGGGGTTTGTCCCACAGGGAGCCTGGGCCAGCGCTGAGTCTCCCTGAAACCCCTGGGTCCCACCTCCCACGAGGTTTTGAGAAAATTCTAGAAGTTGTCAGTTTCTGCCCAGCGCTTCCTCCAGGTCTCCCACTGGCTGGCAGGGAGCCAAGTCCTTGAGCCACGTGGGGAGCAGCCTTGAACCGCAGCTCCCGTGTGTTGGGGGTCCTGGGAGCCCCCAAACCATTTCCTGCTGAAGCCTCACTCAGCCCTGTGGACATCGACAGGCCATCTGCACGTGGGGCCGCTGACACGAGGGTCATTAGCAGATCGGTGGCCAGAGAGGTTCATGGTCACGCAGCTGCCCGGGGTCGAAGCAGCTCAGTTAGGCTGCATGGAGCGGGGGCGCGGGGTGGGCTGTTAGGCACAGTGGTCAGGGTAGCACCGGGATTGGAGTCCTGGCTCCACCTCCTGCCAGCGGGCACCCTGGGAGGGCAGCGGCTGCCTGTTCAAGTTCGCTGATGGACCCGGGAGGCCAAGGTTAGGCACCTTGGAACCGGGGTGGGGGGTGGGAGGGAGGGAGGAGCCACAGGGCAGCAGGTGGGCGCTGAGCTTGGGGGAATCGGGTCCCCTGGGGGAGAGGAGGCCTCGGACAACCGCGGGAGCAGACTTCTGCTTAACATGAACCAGCAGGGGTGGCGCTGTGGCGTAGTGGGTAAAGCCACCGCCTTGCAGTGCTGGCCTCCCATAAGGGTGCTGGTTCAAACCCTGGCTGCTCCACTTCCATTTCAGCTCCCTGCTGTGGCCTGGGAAAGCAGTGGAAGATGATCCAAGTCCTTGGGCCCCTGCACCTGCGTGGAGACCTGGAGGAAGCTCCTGGCTCTTGGCTTCAGCCTGGTGCTGTCCCAATCGTGGCAGCTATTTGGGGAGGAAACCAGCAGATGGACAATCTCTCACTCCTTTTTTTTTCTACCCTCCCTCTCTGTCACTCTGCCTTTCAAATAAATTTTTAAAAAGACATCTTTGGAAGCAGATTTTTTAAAACCAAAAATCCCCCCAAATCAAAATTTGAACTAAAGAAAAAAAATTAGAGCTTCTTAAAGTACACCCACAACCGAAGACGAACAAATGTTAACATTTGTCGTATTGGCTTGGTTCATTTCAGAATGTTTTAAGATAGAAAAGATCTTAAACACACCCCCGCAATGGCTAAAAGGAAAAAAAGATTGACAGCACCAAAAGCGGTAGAGAGAGGCTGCGGAACTCTGGAACGCTGGGACCCTGGGACCCCGGAACGCGGTCCCTGCAGGTGGCGTGCAGGTGACCTGGACAGAGTCCCTCGGCAAGGTCATGGCGGAGTGTGAGGAAGTTCTCCGGGGGTCTCAGCCTGGGCACTCCTGACTCTCTTATTTTTTTTATTTTTTATTTTTATTTTATTTTTTATTTTATTTTTTTTGACAGGCAGAGTGGACAGTGAGAGAGAGAGACAGAGAGAAAGGTCTTCCTTTGCCGTTGGTTCACCCTCCAATGGCCGCCGCGGCCGGCGCGCTGCGGCCGGCGCACTGCGCTGATCCGATGGCAGGAGCCAGGTGCTTCTCCTGATCTCCCACGGGGTGCAGGGCCCAAGCACCTGGGCCATCCTCCACTGCACTCCCTGGCCACAGCAGAGAGCTGGCCTGGAAGAGGGGCAACCGGGACAGAATCCGGCACCCCGACCGGGACTAGAACCCGGTGTGCCGGCGCCGCTAGGCGGAGGATTAGCCCAGTGAGCTGCGGCGCCGGCCCTGACTCTCTTATGTAATTGAAAGGCAGGTGGGGGGAGGAGAGAGAGAGAGAGAGAGAGAGAGAGAGAGAGAGAGAGAGAGAGAGAGAGAGAGGTTTTCCATCCGCTGGTTCACTCCCCAGATGGCCACAATGGCCAGAGCTGCGCCAATCTGAAGCCAGGAGCCAGGAGCTTCCTCCAGGTGTCCAACATGAGTGCAAGGGCCCAAGGACTTGGGCCATCTTTTACTGCTTTCCCAGGCCATAGCAGAGAGCTGGATCGGAAGTGGAGCAGCTGGGACTTGAACTGGCGCCCCTATGGGATGCCGGCACTGCAGGCTGGGGCTTTACCCGCTTTGCCACAGCACCAGCCCCCCGCTCCCCCCCTCCCCCCGTTCACCCTTAAATGCCTTTCTC